GTAGGGGCTGGTGCCTGGCCTCGCAGCTGGGCCCCTGGCCAACACCTGAAAACGGACTGACACCCAGCTTTTTAGGCTGGAATAATTTAAGACCGAGTCTTGAATGTATTTTTCTTTTTCTTTCCCCCCTGCTGAAGTCCTGCTGTGTTAGGGGGTGCGGGGGTGTGTTAGCAAGGTGTGGTAGCGTGGGGATTTTAAGTCAGTTAAGGAAAAAAAAAAAATCATAGAATGGTTTGGGTTGGAAGGGACCTTAAAGACCATCTAGTTCCAACCCCCCTGCCATGGGCAGGGACACCTTCCACGAGACCAGGTTGCTCAAAGCCTCATCCAGCCTGGCCTTGAACACTTCCAGGGATGGGGCATCCACAGCTTCTTCGGGCAAATAAATTGTGCTTACATTTAGTGCTCCAGTCGCTGCCAAGGGACAAGCAAACACCTGAGGGAGAAAGGAAATTGGGAGTTGCTGTAAGGTGGGACTGCTAACGGTCTTACTTTCCTTCTGCTTTGCTGTCTTATGCTCCCTGCCACACCGCCATCCCGACTGTCCGCACGACTTCTTCCTCCCTGCTCCTCTCTGCCCTCTTATCTGTCTGCCACCGTGAGTATTGCTGAGTATCAATGGCCGAGTACCTCTCCATGGCAGAAACGGAGTGAGGGAGGTTTGTGCCGCCTGTCTGAGCACCGCAAGCCCCTCTGAGCACGTCGTCCCCATACTGCTCCTCCGTGCTCAGCCGAGTAGTGGGTGGGCAGCCACAGCCTCTCAAACCAGCACAGGCGCAGCCTGGCTTTCGTGAGTGTAGACCAGACTGTGCGTTTTATAACCCCAAACTGTTGTGGATGGCAAATCTTAAGCTTTCTTAACTTTGTCTGAGTTTATGGCTCAGCTGCTGTTGCGTAGGGTTTTATGTGCGTTTATGCAGGTACTCACAAAAAGAGTATACGCTGTGCAGGATATGTCACCGTGGTAAATCTAAGAGATCCCAGTAGACCCAGCAGACAAGGGACAGTCCGGTTCCCCCAGTGCCTTCTGAATCCAAGAAAGCAAAACCAGAAGTTGGTTGACAGTGAAAATACTTTGACAGTTTTGAGAACAAAGTGCAAACTGTGCAGGAGAGTTGGTAAATGTATTCCTTAAACCTTAAAAGGCATATTTTAGAAACATTTAAGAAGCCTGAGGTTTAAGTAAAATATGGACTGTAACAACGGAAGTTAGACATTCTGTACTTTCTCTTCTACACAGGTAAAACGCTGCACTGTTGAGCCTATTTTACAACTCTCCACAGCTGCTCCATAGTTTTGATGAGTAACAGTGCAAAATCATTGTAAACATAACCTGCTAAGCCAACAACAGAAAGAGCAAAACAAAACCTGATGGTCTCATAGCTCTTTACAATACACCACACCCCTGGAAAAATAAACACTGAAATCTTAAATCTTGTGACTTGGTCTCCTTTACAAATTAAATATATTTTGTGTATAAATTTGATAATTATTTTAATATTCAGAAAGAGAAAAAGTGAGTAAATTTCATTCTGCTTGGTTCTTGCATCTTCCTTTTTTGTGCACATGAACTTTGTCAGTGTTCGCGTTCGTTGTGTGAATGAAATGTTGGAGTAGTTTTCTGTATTACTTTTGTGAGGGTTTGTCCCACTGGTGAAGTGAGACAGATTTCTCTTAGGCTGAGGTAATTGGGAAAGCTTGTTATATCTCTGAAGATTTATTATATTACTCCCCCAGTCCTAATCCTTTGATGAAAATATAGTAAGTTTCTCACAGTCACACAAATGCACACACAACTCTGTCCTGGTTTAGCCCCACTAAGCAACCAAGTACCACACAGCCGCTCACTTCCCTCCCCCCCCCTCCCCAGTAGGATGGGGACAGACACCTAAATACAATGAGACAGAACTTTTTAGGAGCTTAGGTCAGTATCTTAAAATGGTTTACTGTCATCTCTCTTTTTTCTTTTCTTTTCCCTTTTTTCCCCTTTTTTCTGATGCAGGAGATGAAGAACTGGGGTTATTTACAGAAGAACCTTCTATGTTCATAACGATCTGCATTCTTCCTCACTGAGGTTCAAGGACTAGAGTACAGCTGTTCTTTAGTTGTGAAGGATGACTGGGTCAGAGAGGGCCACTTACTACTTCTGTTGCTATTATAAAGAATGGGGAGTTTAGGGGGTGGTACTCTTCAGTGCTGGCTTTACCAGCCTGCATTTTCTGCTGTGTTTTGTTAGGCTTTCTATTTTTAAAGCTACGTAGAATGCAGGAATAACCATATACACAAATACAGGATAGGGAGTAGCAAGAGAGGCAAAATCTTCACAGGAAAAAAAGAGCTGGTCTTTATAGTGAATTATAAACAGAACCTGAGTCAAACTTCCTTCTGGCATGAATAACCAGAAGTAGATCCTCCAGAATTTGTTTGTTGGACTGGTGTGTCCGTTCTGCAGAAAAAGACACAGACCAACAGGGCAGAATTCACGGGAGAGCCATAGGACCTGCAAAAGAGGACTTGAGGAGAACAAGTGAACAATTTGGCCCTATTCTAGAGAAGAGGTAGGGCAGAAATCTTAATATTTATAAAAGATAGTTCCAAGAAAGAGAGGAGTATCTTCTTGAGTGTAAATTGTTGCAAGGAAGATTTAGGCTAAATAATACACAATATTTTCTAGCAGGTTGGCAAAGTGAATATACTGGATATTTTTGGACATTGGTCCTGCTGCACTTGATTTTCAGGACTATGAAACTCAAATTTTTACTTTTCACCTTAATGGACTGTTATGTTCAAGGACATGTTTCTTTACAGATCAAAATATTGGTGTTTCACAACTGCAGTGTGATACATCCTTGTTTAGCATCATAAAATAAGTGGTGCATTTCTTCTAGATCAGAAATCCATGTTAGCACTTTTGATGGTGAAGAAGAGGAGATATCCAATACAGAATTTATTTATATTTCTTTGTAGTCAGGAAAATTGTGAATCCTATAGGCTTCCTAGTGTGTAGATGTGCTGCTAATACAGCCCCTGGAAACTGACGTGAGAGAAGGTGAAACAGTCAGCTTAGTCATGTTTGAATGCAGTCAGAGCTCATTGTGTGAACGAGATTACTTGGGCCTTCTTCAGTCATGTTTACACAGCGTGTCAAAAGGGTGGATGGAGGGAGTTCCCTGCATGGTCAGCATTTGAAACCATTCCTGTAACGTCTGCCTGTCATAAAAAATCAATAGTCGCTGCATACTACCAGTATAGTCATTTGTAGTACCCGGTACTTACTTTTCAGAGTCAAAAATCCTGCTAGGATAAAGATGAACTTCATGTTTCTTTGGGGTATCATGGGTGAGGATTGAGGGGAGTCTTGCAGGGTGGGTTCTGCTGGAAAGGCAAGTTTTAGAAAGGCAAGGAGTTGTCAGAGATGGGAATGCAACAAATACTCTGTTGCCCCATCTCTCGAGGCTGTGGTTAAGGGAGTATATCAGAAACAAAATAGCCAGTTTGTGCAGCAGTGCCAGAGAAAATACACGATTTTGTGCATTGCTACAAAAACACCTTTATGACTCTGTGGTTTTCTTTCTTTTTCTACTTTTTCCTTGGCAGTGTTTGTGAAATTAACAGGGCTCCTGCTGACATCATTGGCTGCTTGGTACTTGGGATGCTTACTCGCTGCTATTGTATCCAGAGAGACAGTAACAACATCTCTTCCTAATCCTCAAGATGTTGAAAGGCAACCGGTGTTTAGGCGTGCGTAGTTGTTTGTTTGTTTGTTTGTTTTTTATATTATATCTAATGTTGTATATTTACGTGCTAAATGACAAACAGCTTGCTAGCTAATAAATGATTTGGCATGTGCTTTAGTAAAAATGGAGTTGGCTGTGGAAGGTTAGTGCAGGTCTGAACTATTTGTTTCTTAGACACTGTCTTTGAAGAAACACAATGCCACCCTGTATTTGCCAGCATGCCATATAACTAACTGAATAGTAATGTAAGAAAACAGCATTTGTTTGCTGGCATGTAAGCACAGAGTTACAGCTTGGGTTCTGTCACGCGTATTTTACAGTTATGGTAAACTGTTGAATCACTGACCAAACTTTGTGATTAAATTCTGATTATTCTTTCCTCGAATCTGACTAGGTGGCATAATGTGTACATTTTTCTCATTCTATGACTATGTTATCATGTGAAAAAGGCTTAATATGAGAATGATAGCAATTAACTTCCACCTATCGGTAGGAATCCTTCATCACTCTATTTCTTGTTTCCTCTTATATGAAGTCGCACAAAATAATTACTGGAGACTCAAATCAGAGCATACTGTATATGGGGCATTTTTCCCTAGATAAACTTGCTCTTGGTCCCAGCAGCTGTTTGAAAGTCAATGATAACTCAAAGCCCAGGCAAGTATTGCCATGATAGTGGAAAACTGGCTTCTCTGTATATAAATTTGAGCTTAGCATGTTGACATTAAGTGATTCTTTTCATGTAGAAATCGTTTATTCAGCATCCAAAAAATAATTTTCTTATCTTTGTTGCTGTAGACCCAGTCCCAAAAAGGCAGAAGTGTGATCACTGGTCTCCCTGCTCGCCTGGGGAATACGCCTATCGGATTCTTAGTGGTGGTGGCAAAGGAAAGCTGGCTAAAATTTGTTTTGAGGATGAGCTGTGAGTACCAGTCTAACTTTAAATCTAAGCAAGTGCTTTGTAGTGTGAAGAATGGT